TAGTGCAGTAGAAATTTGGCCGATGAGACTTTGTGAATTTGAGGATCCTTATAATATCTTCGCTATTTCTGGTGTTTTTGGGGCATTTTGGTTTGTTACTAAATTCATTTTTAGAATATCTTGGTCATGGGTGACCTTGAATAGGAAGTTTAGCCCATTTTGGAGTCTTCTGATCTACAGGGGTCGAAGACCGTATTTATCAACCATGTGTGCCATCACTTCTGGACAAAGATTTAGTAAAATGTTACTGAACGCCTTCTAGTTTCTTTCGGCCGTCTGAGGGCATTATGCCGAAGAAAATTGAGCAATAATCTAGGAGTGGTAAAACGTACATTTTGAAAAGTTGTATTCTTAGTGCATTTAAGGTGAAATTTGTACACATGAATACACATAGGCGAGTGGCTTTCGGTGATATTTGTTGAACGTGGGGGGATAAATCAAGGGTATTTGTATAGTTGACACCTAAATCTTTTACCGATTAGGTCTCCGTTATTTCATTATTCTGGAATATTATGGGGGGGCGGGGAAGTTTCTGTGGGCCAAAGATGAGGAGGCGGCATTTTTCGAATGAAAAGCGCATCTGCCATTGACTACTTCATTCGCTGAGTTTTCTGAGATCGGTTTCAATTGTTCTGCGAATATTGGCTACTGTATTCCCACTGTGTACAAATGCAAGTTTCAGGTCGTCCGCATACAAAGCCGTCTTAGCTTATATTGATATGGACGATGAGTCGTGAATATATATATGAAATAGAAGGGGTCTATGAGAGTGCCTTGAAGTACTCCACTGGTAATAGGGGATACTTCTGAGACGACTTTTCGAATTTGCACCACTTTGTATCGGTTTTGAAGATAGAATTTAAGAACATCGAGAAGGGGTGGTCTAATTCCATGACTTTTTAGCTTTATCAATAGTGTTTTATGAAGGACTTTGTCAAAGGCCCTTTTTAGATCGAAGTATATTGAAGCTACTGTGCTTCCATCATCTCAACTGCCGGAAACGAATTCCAAAAAAGGTAAGATGGCAGGACTGACATGACGTTTAGGTAAGAATGCATGTTGAGATGGGGGAATGAGGTTGGCGTTTATGAGCTGGTCTAGCAATTGTTTGCAGATTATTTTCTCGAGGATTTTAGCTATAGCCGGTGTTCGGTGAACACCACGATTATTTTGGATATGAGATCGGTTGCCGCTTCTAAAGATAGGTGCAATGGTCGAGCATTTGCGCATGTCCGGAAAAATTGCACTTGACTGGAGTAGGTTGAATAACTTAGATAGGAGTATTGGAGCATGTCATATGCTTCAGAATACATTGCGGGATATTGTCCGTCCCATAAGAGTTGGCGATGGATAGTTGTTTGATGGCTACTTTAACCATTTCTTCATTGCTGATAGAAGCGAACAGGTGAGTCCCAGTTTTCAGTTCAGAAGACGAAGATGCGATCACTGGAACAAGAAATTTACTGGCCTGACATTTCGGATTCTCACCTGAGTCTATCATCAGAGACATTCGCAGATAAAGGTGATGGTGGTACAAGGAGTGCAGTATTTATAGCACGTGGCTGCCGTGGGACCATATGCGCACTGTAATTAACAGCTCTCGCAATCACCGCTGGGGTCGTAACTGATGCGATGGTGGCTTGTCAGTCCGCGTCCGGGTCGTTAATTGCCGTGATTTCGTCATCCGTGCTGGATGCTCGTGTGACGATTGCTCGGCAAATTGTCTCACTGTCACTGGGATAATTATTCGCCCGCGCCCTGCCCGCGCCCTCCCCGCGTGACTGATTCCTCTGTCCAGGGAAAATCTCAGCACGGTCTATGGTACCGGGAGGTCATTGTGTTTGCTGATGAATTGCTGGCCTGAGAACCATGACTGGAACAGCTCGAGCAGCGCGCATATGGTCCCACGGCAGCCATGTACTATCAATACTGCACTCCTTGTGCCACCTTCACTTTTATCTGCGAATGTCTCTGATGATGGATTCGAGTGAGAATCCGAAACGTCACGCCAATAACTTTCTTGTTCCAGTGATCGCATCTTCGTCTTCTGAGTTTCTTCATTAAAACGGATCTCACTAAGGATGCGTTCTGTCATCTCGGTCGGTTTGACTGATAGTTACCTCCTCGACTGTGTAGTTAGCTGAGAAGTATTTGTTGCATGAGTTTACTATTTGGCTGTCATTTGTTATAACTTGTCCTGATTCATCAATAATAGTTCGTGGTCCTGACTGTCAATGATTATTCATTTGTTTCTGAAACATTTGAGTTGTTTGCTCAGGGGATTCTAGTGCCTAGTGTTCTGTTGCTATGGTCTTTTATGTTTCCATTTTCGTAACTAAGTCATGAATTTCCCTATTCGTTGAAGTGTGGATAAATAACTTACAGAGGTGTTCTGTAGTTGTTTTTGTAGTTTTTGAGTTTAGTTGAAACGAAGTGTGGGCTTTGTGTTTTTCCATACAGGAGTCTTTCGTCTATCAAGGTATCTCGAATTACAGATAGTACAGAGTATAATAGATTAACTGTCTCAATAGGGGATGTTGTTAGAAGGTCTGGGCTCCAGTCTACTGACCTAATATAGTTGTCCCTAAAGTTTTGTCAAGGTTTTTGGGTTTAGGCGGATGTTACTAAAGTCGGGTGCTAGTTTTGCGTTTAAGGGGAGCGTTGATATCATTGCTTTTTGGTCACCTTCAAAGGTTGCGCAGTCGTAGAGCATATAGAGGGGCCAGATGTCGTAGGTGAAAATAACGTCTAGTATATTGTTTCCTCCGGTGGGTTTGTCAACAATTTGTGTCCAGTAATAAAAGATAATTGAATATAACAATTCTTCGCGCCTGGTAGGTGCCAATAATTCGACCCAGCTTATTTCTGGGCGGTTCAGGTCGCCTGCAATTATCGTATATTCAGTTTTCATGCTAGCTATATCGTTTACTAAGTGGATGAGACTTGTGTCATCATTACTACATTCTGGAGGGGAGTATAGACATCCGACTAGTATGTTTTCCTGGGTATGAGGTTTTATTGTGGCAAAACACGCTTCTCCAGCAAAGGTTTCGGTTGGGACGTCAAAGCCCCTTTGCTCAATGCCAGTTGTAGATAAGACAACTTCCGCCTTGCTTACTAACACGGTCCTGTCGATCGAAATTATAATTTGGGACATTTAGCGAAGCACGAGATACGTTAATGTGTATCCGGGGCATCTGACTTAAGTCAAGTAAATTGGTATTAGGTTGGAATTTAGCACAGTCAAAGCAAGTTAAGCTCCTAAGTACTTTATTATTCAAGTGTCAACAGCACGAAAATCGCAAGCCCTTAAACAGTAGGGAGCACACTGGTATGTCACTCCTAAATCGACTCGACTAATTGTCAAATGACTGGACTTTGTTATTTAAAGTGGACAAGTGAACCACTCTGTGATTCGGTGGGACCAGACGTTTGAACCATCGATACTATAGACTGAGTGGCACACAACTGCAATAACTGCACGCACAGGGGGACCTAGGTGGATAAGTCGTGACTTTACCAAAACCATCGTTGTACTACTCGAATGTGGCCAAACCAACAACAGCAGCCCTGTAACAAGCTGAGCAAACTTTCTCGGCGCTTGAAGACGGCCGCTTTGCCAAGGTCTTTGAGCTTTTGCGCGGCCGTAACTGCAGTTCACTATCTAAGCCTAGTGACCTTGAAGGGCTAACGATGGCAACATCCTCGAGAAAGTGTAAGGGTGCACTACAAAACAGACTGAACTGACCTAAGAAACACATCCGTATAGTCTTTGAGGTGCAGGCGACTCCGACTTGGCCAGATAAGAGAGAACTAGGCAGGCAGGAGAGAAAAATGAAAGAAAGGAAATTAGAGAGACCGGCTCATGACGACACCTCGCGAGAGGGCATTCCGTAGGACGTCCGTATGAGCCAGCTTCCCGACCAATTCGAAGAATTCGTCAAAGTCTAGGGTCCGCCCAGAGCCTCTGACAATCCGGCAGGTTTGGATGAGATCGCCGCGCAGTTGCCTGTAATTGTGAAGAAACATAATTAGTTCGGCCAGTTTGTTTTCGTAAGGCAGATGGTCAAGGTTCGTAGCCATCTTCATAGCTATCGTATGTTATCTTTCCAATTGTTGATAATCCCTCTTCAACCACGGTCGTCTGGCCTGTACTGCATACTCTAAGTGAGACCAAACGAATGCCCCGTAGGTCTTCCCGAACAGCTCCCTATCGATTTGTACAAATCCTCGCCTCAGCGCAAATAACACCTGCGTCATGCGTTCGACTGCTCGTAGAGACTGGGACGATGGTTTCAACGAGGAGGTTATTAGGACTCCAGGGTCTTTCTGATCGTCAAACTTTCGAAGGGACTACCCATCAGGGTGGTATCGGAAGGAATCATCCTCCCCGCCGGTTATTCTGTTGCGGAGTCTTAAGACCACTCATTTGTCCGCATTAAAATTTGACAACTGAACATCTGTCAACTGCTAAGTCGGTTGAGACTCTCTTGAAGCGCGGCCTGTCTGCGTCAGATCTGACAGTTCTCCACAGTTAACATCGTCACCATTATCATTCTTCAGTACTGTGACTCGGCACTTTTTTAAGTCCATTGATAATATAATGAAATAAAATTTTTGGCTTTTGTTCTGCCTGCCGGATAACTCTGGATTTCTAGTCCTTTCTTGTCTGATGGATGTATTTCTGAGCGCATTTGGTTGGCAGCGAAATTCCTCGAGATGTTCTGGTGACCCAGTTTCCTTGAATATCTTCCACTTTTTCTAATTTTTCTCTCTTAACTGTCCATTCGGGTCTCTATTTAACCAGGCGGAGCGACCAGTCGCTTACTGCACCTTCACTGGACAACAGAACCGAATCAGATATAGTGAAATTGTATTAAACTATTTCAATTGTCCTCTGGATCCTCCATGAGCAGGAATTCCCAATTCACGGACTTCATGTCGTTATTCATCATGTTATAATCTGCGTTCCATATATTTCATTGACCTTCCGTACTCTTATGGAGTTGAAAGAAGAGCAAGTATGCCCCCAGTAACGTATTACGGCCACCCTTACCGGGAGGCAATACACACCGTCAATTTTAGGGAAGTCGTATATAGAAACTAATTTCAAGCATTTGGCTGTCTGGTTCTCTCTAAATCTCCTTTACGTCTTCGCACCAGAAGGAGGATTAGTGTGAGGACGACTAGATTGCAGCTGAAGGAAGCTGGCATACCGTCGACTGCTAATTTTTTTAGTCCATTGGCGGTGCGCTGAAGTCTCTAGTAATTAGAACTTTATGGTGGCTACCTACTTTCTTGACCAAATGGAAGTGTGACTCTTCATATGCACTCGGGAGGAATTCTAGGTTTTGTTCTTTAGTCTTTTTATCATTGCCCAGACGGATTCATATTTAAGGGAGGAAGTACGAGCTCGTTCAGCTCCCGAAATTCCTATCCTTACATATACGATTACCCTACCGCTCTGTCTATTTTGACGGCCACTACGAAAGTGCAGGTTGCCCTGTACGGAAATTTCAGTACCCGCGATTTCACCTTTGCGCCGTGTTTCTGCTACGGCAACGACATCGGGGTTCGTCGATTTTTGAAACGAGAGTTCGAGCATTATTTGCAAAACTCTTAATCTGGTCTGAGTAATTCCGGTATACAGGCGCCTGTCCATTTCATGGGATTGAATGCAAAAGCCTGCCGGTGCGGATCGGGATGAACTGTTGTCCATCGCCCCTAATCTGTTATGGCTATAGGTTTTCTACAGAGAAATAACCCCTAGACATGGGTAATTTTCCTATCCAGTATATTGAGATTGCTGTCATACAGGCTGATACTTCTGAGGACTTCCGCACTTGGCCCCCTCTATTTTTCTCTCTCCTGAGGGTGGAAATCCTGCTAAAAACTGTTGCGTTTGTCATTTCGGAATGCGGGCTTGCTGTTTAACATTAGATGAGCTTGTTCATCATTCCGGGAGACAATTTTAGCGATATCGGTCGGTCTCACTCCTCTTTTAAATTCTTATTCGGCCCGTCCTGAAAGACTTTAGTATGGTGACTTTCTCATCTTTTTTAAGAGGAATTTCATATATTGATAGAATATTACCATGTCATGATGTATTCTGTGATGGGATGTCGGACGAAGACTCGGACACGCCCATTATGACAAATTGAATGTCTTGTGGCTTATTGCTACGTTCAGAAATGCCAACACGGATATCCCGGTTGCCGACTTCTTCTGATTTAGGAAGGTTTGGTGTCGCGCAACCAGGATATAGCATTACCTTCTAATACTGAGCAAACACGGATGTAGGTTTTGGCATTGTGAAGCACACTGCCTCCAGTCCTTTTTCGCTGTAGAAGAAGTCACAGTAACAGTCGCTCTCAATCTTGTAGAGGGATTCTGTCATCCCCATCGCCGATGGTTTGGGTATCAGAATGCACCGTCGCATGGTAGCAGGCTCCTTCATTTTGTAGTTAGTACCTAATGAACCTAGGGAACTATTTTTAAAGGCAAGGCTTACTTCTCACATAAAACTTTAATCGACTGGCATAAGACCTGATCTGAGAAATCATTTCGAGGAGCCCTTGGCCGGCTTCGTCTTCAGAGCGGCGGAATTTGAGGTATGCAGACACCAACTTCCGGTCACAGATGCGGTTGTGCAGCATGTATACCGACCTGACGTGAACTTTGCCACCAAATTTCATCGCAGTGAATCTTGCCGGGCAGCCAGGCCGCATTAGTCTGACACGTTGATATTTAACTGAAAAGCATTTGCTTGGTTATTTGACTAAAATTTCCCTGAAGACGCCTGCATCCGTGGATGCAGGCGAAGTAGATGGATGCGTTTTTTAATGAGCTAAATCCAGGGTGGTCCAGCGGCAGCCTGCTGCTGTGGGAAATTCCAAAGCTATAGTTCGCTGCCTGGGATTTTGGGGCAGGTAATGGCACTTTGACTTACCTTCGCGTACTCTCTGGACAGCTGAGAAGCTACCTAGCCCGTAGTTTGTGACCACTGTAGAATCATTGTTTCCAACAGCTGCTGACGTCCGAGAACCTCATGCAAACTCCCCATGACAATATCTAATTTTGTCGAAAGTGCTCCCATGTGTTTACACACCAGAAGCAAGATATCCTCCTGATCATTAGGTGGTTGCACTGCCGAAATTAGGGAATTCATTGAATACCAGGCGTACACGTGTACGTGGATGTACATCCACCCCGATCGCAGAGTATGTTCTTGCCGCATACTATTCTGCTACCAATCGTTATGCACCTATTGGCCGGTGTGATGTCCATACGATACCTGCCATTGACCAGGCATTAGTATTGCCAACTGTCTTCATAGCCTGCAGGTATTGGTCTAGCGTTATGCTCAAGAAGGAATCTTGTTATATGAGGCCTTGAAGGATCGCGCATGACTACCTCCACCTCGCTTAAACGCCTGGATATCTGTTATAGAGGCCGTGACGGACTTCTAAACAATTTCTTGAATCTGCCTAAAAACTTTCGAGGGGAAAAGACGAGAATGACTGCAATGCACCGCGACGCTCTACTTTATCCGCCGTGTACATTAGACTATGAACATTGTAAACCATGTGCTCCTCACCGTAGGGAGTCGAAAACTCGCGACTTAATTATGGGAAACAGACATTCGGTGAAATCTTCTGGCAAAGACGCGCAGTCGATGGCGTTGTTTATTTCAGTCTAAGACATATTCAAAAGTGAAGACTTCTTTGGGCAATCAAAGCAAGCAAAAATGTTAGTGGATTCATTGAATACCAAACGTACACATCCATCTTGGTCGGAATTTTTTTTAATATACTGTCTTACTACCAATGCCGCTGCGTCTATTGGCCAGTTTGATGTCAATGCGAAAGCTGTCTGTGAACAGGCATTCGTATTACTGACTGCTTTCGTATCCGGGAGGTATTCTTCTCGCGTGATGCCCATGAAGTAATCTTTTTAATAGAGGCCTGGATGGGTCGCGCGCAGTTATCTCCACCTCGCTTAGACGTCTAGGTACCTGTTTTAGAGGTCGTGAAGGACTTCTAAGTAACGTCTTCAATATACCTAAAACTGTGTTCGCAGTGCCTCTCTGGCCTGTAGGCGCCACCCCTTATGGTTGGTGACTGACGGTTTCACACGTCCTAAGGAAATGTTTCCAAACTGACCGAGTGCAGACGGCATTTTTGCTCTACCGAATACCCCTTGTGGAGTTTCTGAAGGTTCTCAAGGGTATCTGCGAGCCTGGCGCGATGTTTCAATCTGCACAAAGATTTTTGTGTCAGTGTCTCTCTACAGTTTTGCATTTAAGGCTGCTTGGGTGACAGACAAACGAAGATTATGCTTTCCAACCACCGATACTAGGTGAGATTTGCATGCTTTGCCTCAACTGAGAGCCATTATCCGCTACGACAACTGCAGTAAGATATTCCAAGTCATCCACAAGGACGACTAACATTGTTTACACACGCTTTTCTTCATCCACTCCTCGAGTTTGATGCCGTTGTCCCAAATTCAGCGCCATCTTATTAGTAGCGATGAGTGGGGAGTCCGTTCGAAGACTGACCACACTTTGTGTTACTGATGTGGAGGTGGTTCCTGTGTGCCGTCTTCACCTTTGGTGGAGAGAGCGGGTCGACCTTGCCAGGTCCGCCGCTGCAGATCTCGGGAGGCCTGCCAGCTAAGACATGGTGTTAGCGCTCACGCATATATAGCAGTCAGTTGCCCGTCTTTGACATCGCCATGCGTCCCTTGTTACTCCAATCCGGTTCCTTACTCTTAACTGTCTCTAGCAGTTTTTTTCTTTAAGCGTGGTAGAATGGAAATAAATCGCAATAGTTGTGTATACACTCCGCAATACTGGTACGTCTCTCCTCTTGCTTTTCGAGACCCCTTTCCAGCGAAGAGAACGTCTACAAGCTGCTAGAGAATATCCAACTGACTTCAGAATCGGACTTTTACGCTGTATTCATCTCGAATCCGAAGAAGTTCGAATTTCTTTCATGCTAAATTGTATAATCTCTTCAGACAGGTGCCATTATTCTTCCAAAAGAAGGGTGATGCCAATGAAGACAATTTAGTTGTCTGGGTAGGATGGATTCCTCTTTTATGTCTGATGGAATCGACATTCTTAGGACTACCACGTTATTGCCATTGAGCAACTACCAGCGTCCAGTATTGTCTACGACCTGGACACAACCTTAGACTTTCCGATCTCTTTCAAAGATTACTGGAGTAAGGCTGTTCGTCCGAATCATTGTTTTCGAGAACCCTTCTTCAGGTAATAAGCTGGGTTTTTTTATGCTATGCAACGGCTCATTATTCCATTGTTCGCTTGTGTTAATGTCATTGGAGCGAGCCGCTATCGTAAAGTGGAGCTTGAATTTGCTAGGTATCCTATCAATTGCTTTTCTGCTTAATCATCTTTCGAATGCTGCCCTGTCCACATATGGGATCATAGAAAGATTCAATTCCTGGTCTCAGCGCAGGCGATTTCAGCGTATTAAAGAATATGTAAGGATTACTAGGAGAGTGTTTGCAGTCATTAACCTCAAACGCCTATCCTTGCTCCAGCAACATTCCACTAGTTAATGGATCTGAGTGCTCTGGTGGTAATCCCTCTCCAAGTAGCGAAATGTCCACAGAGTCATGACCTACTGGCGAGCGTCACCGTGCTTTTACTCGGGTTTTGAAGGGACGCCATAACTGTTGCTGGAGGGAGGCGTAGCCACTTGACCCTCTCAGTCGTCGTGTCTATGGCTGCGACAATTGGCGACCCAACGCCATGCATACACCTACCGTTAATGCGGATGACTGTCATTGCATTTTACCAATATCATCTACAACTGAATGTGTTTGAGTTTCGGTCCTGCATCTCCAACCAAATATATTCTGTTACGTGTATATATTACTGACAACATTTTAGTACCGTGTTTATTTAAAGTTGCATATTACATGTACCGTTTACGATAGGGTTTTCAAAGGCATTGCCTATTACCCTTAAAATATACTGACCTATACTGACTTGACCCGAATACTGGTGGTCTAGCAATCACTGCACAAATTACGGTCATATACGGCGAATACGAGGGGGAATGCTAATAGGTATGGGATCGCAATAGCAATTGGATCCTGTATCTTCTGAAACTACTGTGTGCCCAACATCCGTGCCTGCTGCTCACTCTGCTGGCGGTTTCGAGAGTTAATTTAAAATCTCGGACTGCAGCCACCGGGCGTCTTTCTCCTCTGCTTTACGAAATCTGCCCTTTCGCTTGTATCGTACCCTAACCGCCGCATCGGGATTCAAGTCCCTCTTGGGGGCTAAATGAAGTCGCAGGGGGGATATATTCTCCATGGAATGACCGTTGTGCCATACTGGCGGACAGTGTGTTCTAGCAGGGCCTGATTGCGCGAGTGGACAGACATGTGACAACAAGTAAAACACCAGCGAGGACCGTTTGGTTTGCGTGTCCGGGACTGTAATCTCGGGTGGTGTGGCCTGCTAGGTCAAAACTTCTGGACAGGTCGACCTGGGTGCCTGCCGGGCGCGGAACTTATCGCACTAGTGGATTGCCTACGTTCTTAAGGATAGCCTCTGCATTCCTTGCATCTCCACATTATAGTGCAGGATTGTCAGTGGATTCCGTATGTGTCAGTTTGCAAAGGCCAAGGAGTTCTATTTTGGCTTCAGTTCACTGTTGCCATTTCTAAACTTTATGGGAATATGACCGCTGTTGTTTTAGAGACAGTCATATCTGTTTTAAGTAGCCTAGACGGCACCCATTTTTGCTTTTTTTAGTCTATGTTTATAGTTTCGGATCAATATAATTGTCCTCTGAGTAATCTTTTTCATAAGTCCGGTTAATTCGGGCCAGTGTAGGAAGGGAATGTAGGGTACGCATTTTCGGGTTTATTTTCGTCGCCAGGTATCCATACCTACATAATCTGTGGACCGGAGTATTAACTACACTGCGGCTGTTTACATGCTACTCCAGTTTCAGACCTCTAATCCCTACAATGCCCTGCGACTGGTTCGCATTAGGTTTTTTTCAGAAAGTGCCCGAAAAAATGGGACCAGTCCATCAGCCTAGCGTCAAAGGTTATCGGACGGTAGGTCAACCTTCGGCTAATACTTGTTGAGACGTGAATTGGCTTTCAGATCTGACGAATAAGCAGTCGTTGAACATGTGGCGGTAAAACCGCCAAATCTCTTGCCACAGCAGTATTGCGAAGTGGCCAGTATTTTCTATTATCCAGTAGTGCCTCCCCCGTTGTCCGACTAATAACAAAGTCCTAAATTGGTGCGTCGGAGAAGTGGATACAAACGTCCACCTTTGAATCCCGCAGATACAGAAGTCATATATCCCTCAAACCTCCCTCACAACTGCTGCACGGCGGACGACAATTTAATCAAGTTCTCGAACGACTGGAGGAACTTGGCCCGCCTGAGGTGACAATGAGTTACTGGTCCTGAGATAGTCCATTTTCTGGCTAACAAGAATGGGTGTCGAACTGTCAGTTCGACCGAAAGATGGCTTCCCCTCAAGATATTTTTAACACCTCCAAATTCGGCCACCATCTTACTGATGCAACGTCAGTCTAGTGTGATGGAGTTGTGCTTTGAATCCAGGTGGGGTCATATCTTCCTTTGACTGCTCTGCTTGACTTGTCTTTTTTAACTCAAGAATTTCTCATTTACCCGAAGGTTGTCTTTACCTTTTGCTTCTCCCTAGATTTTTCAGAGTTGTAGGTAGGACTTGTTTCTTAAACAATTTCGCGTCCGATCGCAGCCACATGCTCGTCGACAGAGACCCAGCGCGTTGGCTTGCTCCTCCACCCACGTACGTCCCCATCCATGGTGTAGAGGTGCCTCCAGAAGTCACACACACCCTGCCAAGATTTATTAATGTCAGTGCGGTCGACGTAGCGCAAGCTCAGTGCTCCTCCAGAGTATCCAAGGCCGAATTAAAAACTTCCCGATTTGGAGTGCTGTTCACTGAAGAAATGCTTCTGGACTTTTTCTCCTAGCCAATTTGCATTATTTTGTGTATTTACTTTTATTTTTTATATTATTGACTGGTCAAAAGTATTAATACTTAATAGACGCATTACCTTCCTCGTCACATTCTGACTTTCCAGTAAGCAGTGTACCTACTTGTCTCCGGTCTGGGAGCGGCCAGCCCACGGCTAAAACTTTGTTGACGGGAACGATGGCTACTTATGTCTGACCAGTAGATAGGATTCACGGAAGTCCTTGGTAGTTCACATCCATGCGTTCTTTTACGTCAAGATCATGCCGTTTTTCCCACTCCATAAGGGGCTTCTTCCTAGGCATTTTTGTTCATTTGGCAACATGCGAGTGCTCCGCAAGAATTCCAAGTAATGACACCTCACCTTCACCAACATAGACATGCGAGGATCTTTCGCGTCAATGTTTCATACTGTTCTGGAAGACCGTCAGCTATGTGGGCGATATTTTGCTAAACCTCTGAAGTGGTTGTACTCTAAACATCCCCTGTCGTCAGAAAACCTGTTTCTCAGACGAAGCCGCACGGATGACTAACGCCACCCTTGCATTTCTTTTTGGCGCAAGTTGAGTTAGCACAAACTATCGGAGGAACCGATCATACGATAAAGGTTGAGTGTTGTTGTTGTGGATATGTTAGGCCACTTTAGGTCGTAACTCATCGAGTGTTAGGAACTCAGTAGATAGTCTGTTAGCCTGTTTTTACGATCAACCTCAGAGGTGAACTAGACAAAGATCCCCGATAAACTCCGCCACATGCGTGGATGAGAGTTCGATCGTCGCGAGTGACGTCCACCGTGCGACCCACGTAGTCGATGCAGCACCAACGACTTGCGCGTTTGTCATAATACAAACCCGGGCAGCATCTGTCGCGTTCTCTGCTCTCCCGTCCATCAGACGCCGATGGCAAGGCAGTGTTGGGACGGTCGGAGGTGGACTTGGGCACTGGCTGCCAAAGCTAAGCGGCCTATCTGCGCGTGCCACGTGGGGTGCGTCCCGTCACCTTCTTTACCAGGTTTCCACACAATAGGGGCGGCTCGGATCTCGCGTTCGTGGGAGTGCCATGTAGGTGGTATCAAGGAGCCACTGAGCCTGAATCGCAGCCCGCGAGCCGGTGACTCCACGCGCCCACACAACACTGGTCACGTTAACGGAGTTATTCAGTTAGTTGGCAGCCTTCCAAGCCAAGACTTGGTGTGCCGGATCTATTATAGTAAGAAATAAGACTTATCTTGGAGGATAGAGGAATTCTGTAGTGACGACAAGTTATGCGGGAAACAGCGAGCACAGGCCTTGGACTGACCGTCAGAAAGTGGGTCTAGTGGAATACAGAGTTGATCCGCGTCCAGAAGGATATCCTCCAGCGTACTTTGTGGCAGCGGCTAGGTCTTTTGGATTGGGGATACACGCTGGAAGTGATGTATCGGCGTTCTGTGAAACGCCCTGTTTGAAAGTCGTCGGCAACTTGAGATATCTATAAATGCACTGCAAGTGGTTGACTGCACTTTTCGTTGCCATGAGAAAAAAACAAATCTGGTTTCTGATTTCTGTGCAGTTGCGTATGGTTGGTATCTCCGAAGTGTTTTTTGAGGGCAGCATGTACTGTCGTCGCCCCCCCCCCACATCATCCCTATAGGTCAAAGTAGTCGGTTTGGGGTTTTCGTTATCGGTTGACTCCTCGTTACTCGGAGCCGAACATATTATTGCTGGTTTCTACTGTTGTTCGGCCCATGGTAAGGTTCTTTGGGCAATGCGCATATGTGCTGCAGGGCAGTCCCCGACAAGAATTACATAGGCGATTGCCAGGGTGTATTTGCGATTCTTCAAATAAATAGCAAACCAACGAACGTTTATTTTGGACCAGGAAGGCCCACTTACTCGCAGATCTGACTGCTGCGGCTGTCCTATTGTATATTGATGGATGACTGGTAACTTGCACTTTTTGCATATTTTCCAGTCCTGGGTTACTTCTGCAAATGAAAGCAGGTTGGTTATCAGGATTCGTCCTTCTGTTTCGGTAAGGCTCGCTATTGCAGAACTGAGCTTCTTCAGTGGGGATGTTTCTCCGTCGGTTTTCAATACATAGCTTTATTGCATTGTGCACGCATTATGTGAATTTCCGAACTAGCGCTCTGTACCTTGTTCTCGAAACTGACCTCACCTCGAAACTTTCATCTCTCAATTGCTTAGCAAATGTCCGGCCTTGCTTCCTTATCTAATCCTCAAAGGCACCCATCGACGGCAGAACTCTGCTGAACCCCTGCGACTGTTCAGTACAGCTGCCAAGAATCAGTGAGGCTTCTTAACAGGTCCGTCCAGCGGACAGGGAGAGACTAGTGATAGCACTTTTTTCGAACAGGATAAGGTTGCATCAACCTTTGTAATCAGCATTCGTTCTTGATCGTTGTCTGTTTTTTAAAGATCCTTTGTGGTAGTACGAGCCAAGAAACCTAGAAACTGGATGCAGTTAACGTATAGAACCTTTTGCTTTAATGTTTTGGGCAGTTTCTCGTTGTCGAAAGTGACCGTGGTCCTCAGTTGCTATACAACAGATGTTTGGCACGATAGTTTATCCCTTCACAACGTCTCCTTGGCCACCTAGCACAAGTTAGGTTATGTTAATGCTCATCATGGGAGGATAAGGCTTACGTCTTTCGACTCAACTTTGAAGGACGCAGGGGTCACACTGCTACTGATTACGAAGCTTAAACATTATAAGGCTCACTAGATCAGTTGCGCCCATTGCGGCCTGGTCGTCGCAGACACAATTTTTCTGGAACACCGTTTTCGCTAGAAATTTGCTCGATAACCTTATTCCTGCACAATTAGTGAATTTTAAATCCCAGACCATACCTTACTTCATCAGTTTTCTAAGATTCCATTTGTAGGGAACTGGTTAACTACTTGGTGAAAACCAGGCCCCGAAAGTAGTCGAAAAGTGTGTTGTGGTAAGGGCCAATTGTTAGTTCGCCTCTTCATTCCTTCCTTATGGGAATTTTCTCAAACGTAGTCCATACTCCCACAAATAACCTAAAGTGACTGCGGTTTGGAGAGGCAATTTAATCCGGAATCATTTCGCGTGCAGCAAATACAAACTGGGCCCTCTCACACAGTTGACAGCTTCTGTGATTGCACTGCGGTCTCTGTCAGCCCTGACAGGGCTTCACTTGGGACGGTCTGCTTCAATTTTTGTCCCTTCTAGAGTACACATATTTACGCATCCTGTCCATTGGCGCGTCTTTGCAGGCGTCCGGGTCACGTCAATTAGCGTTCCGGCTACTACAGGCGAGATTGCAAGCTCCTGATTTCCGGCCAGTGCAGCCCTTCTCTGTCTCCCCTCCACTTCCGCATTAACCCCCTCTTTCACTGTTTTCGGCCCCTTCCAGACTATTGTGCGTTCTGTTGTCATGGAAATTGTGAGCTAGCCGGCTCGACATGCAAGAACCGCAAGCGTGAGCGCAGTCCCAGAAGAGGTCTCATTAGAACAGAACAATGCTGCCCATTGGCCGTCAGCCAAGTGAATAGCGGCCGTAATGGGTAAATGGACAGCTAGCCGGCGCGTGGCCCGCCAAGACTGGAGAGCCTGGGCTTCGAAGCAGCGCTAGTGACGACTGCATTATTACCGTACCCTTTCTGTCTTTCGCCCTCCTCGGCATCATGGAATAATTTTTGGTTGTAGGCGCAAAGGTCTGGCGGTTTTCCTAGCCGGACAACCCACAATATTCTACGGGGATCGACCTTAGTTCAGTCTCTGCATTACGAGCTCGCCACTGATGTTCACTATGTAAACTTTTAATATATAGGTGTTAGCATGGACTGTGACAACCACATTTTCGGCCTTTTAGGGTAAATATTAAACAAAACAGGACTTGCAAGCTTCTAAAAGACATCAGGGGAGGAATATTCGTTTTATTGTTTTCCGGAAGGGCTTCTTTACGTTAATTAACTTCTGGACTTAAGTGTTCAGTCTCATTCTGTTTCTTAGTAACCTGAGTCCGCAGGACATTAGAGTGCAAATACTCTTCTGATCCTCTTGGAGAGTGTGATACACTAACATCCCGGCCGTTGTTTAGTGTCTTCCCCCCTAAGTAGAAAATTGGATACTACTGTCTTGTCCAAAAGTCCATTAAGTATGTCATTATTGCTAAAACTGACATTTGAAACGCTTTTCCCCCGAACAAGTAGGATTTTGCGAGTACTGGTAGTCAACATGTCCTTATTATTGAAGTAGGATTGACAAACGGAGGAAGCTTATCAGGTTGTGCTTGTATGATTAGGAAGCTGAGTAGAACATTATGGATACTGACAAAGGTACTGTTCGAGGCAAGTACACCTGTAGAATTTTCGAGGCCAAGTGAATACGCTGTGATAAAAATTGTATTACGTACATCCGGCGCAATATTTATTATCGGAGCTTCTCCATTCATCATTAGGTTGTGTCTGTATCGGCCATTATGAATGAACAAGAGAATTCCGGAAACTGAAATTGAAACTTAAATATCTGCAACTTGATGCCTGGTAGTGTCTTAATGAATGCAAATGCTCGTGTTATGACCTGACTCAGCTAGATTTCTTTTCACTATACAACGAGATACACTAATTCGTAAAAATTCGAGCCGGTGGAGGCCCTAAAAGGATTTGGATAAGATGAAGTAATTATCTTTCACTAGACGAGGGTCAATTTATGAGGTAGATATCGCAGATGCATGCATTTTCAGTAACACTTCCCGGAGGGTACATGTGCTTATTAAATGGGTTAATCCATCTCCGGGTGGACGGCGAGATTTCACCGAAGACGAGCGCAGACCATCAGCTCCCGTCAGTAACTTTTATAACAT